GCATTGTGACCCTGGGGGACGAGGCCAGCAGTGAGAGGTGAAAAATCACAAAGAGAAATGAAGGCACGTTACCCAGGAGTGCTCTAAAAACCCTACACCTTAGTGTCACAAAGCTAACTGGGTTTCCTGGAGCCCCGTACTTCCTGTCACTAAGCCACTTTCCCACCAAACCACACACCCTTTAAACTCCTATTTTCTCTACCTGCAAAACTCCCGAGAGTTTGTACTGAGGGTGAAGCAACACAGGCTCAGGGATGAGGCAGCCAGGCTGCCTCTCACTTACCAGCCCTGTCACGTTAAACAGGTGAAACTCAGTCTCTCTGTACTTTATTTTTAAATGTAAAACACAGATAATAGTAGTACCTACTTGCCATGGTGGTTGTGTGGAATAAATAAAATAAGGCATGAAATGGGCTTCACACAGTGCTTGAGATATAATAAGAACAAGGAAAGTCCGGGCAGTGTTATCAATCCATCTTTGATTGCTTAGATTATGTCTGAGAGACATAAACCAAGGTCTTCATGGCCAAGGTCAACTAGGAAACTTTCACAAGACTAAATCTTTATTAAGCCCTTGACTTCAGTTTTTGGTCCAAATGCCCCATACTAAGGTCACCGTCCTCCTCTTCACCTAGAATTGCTCAATGTCCCTCAGCCCCAGCCCCACAGAGGTCGCACTCCTCGGCTACCTGTGACTGAGCCCTGCGTGAAGACATGCAATTGTTGGTTTCTGCCTTTGAGTGACACTTAGACTAATTTAGTACTCCGGAAACCCTTAATTAGCTGAGCACAATCCCTGCCCAGCAGACAGTCCACAAGCCCAGCCCAGGGACTATGGGTCTCCACTTGAAATGCCAGTGAGGCTGAGAGCAGAGTGTGACGCTGGTTTCCAGCCACACCACTTGACACACACCTCACAGTCAAAATTATCTGGGAGAGAGTTCCTTCCTTGTTTTCAACCCTTTTTATACAGTCTGAACTCTTCCTTAGGCATCAAAATGCTAGCCCCAAACTGGAAAGATTAAATACAGGCTTCCATATATTGCTTGTGTCAACACAAATGGATATAGAAAGGCAATAAGCCCTTCCTTTTTTAAATTTTTATTTTTATATAATTGTAGATTCACATGCAATTGTGCAAACAGAGAGGTTCTGATTCCTTTCTTGTATAACCATAGGACAATTTCACAACTAGGAACCATGCACCCACATTATTCAGATTACACGGCTTTCACATGCACTGGTGTCTGTGTGTGTGTGTGTGTTCGTGTTCTCAGTTCTCTGCAGTGTTACCACACGTGCACATCCATGTAAGCACTGTGATCGCCGAGATACAGAACAGTTCCTCCGTCGCCTCCACTGCACCCCTGCCAACCACTGATCTGTCTTCCATTTCTATAATCTCGTCGCCTCAAGAATGTTATATAAATGGCATCATATATCGTATAACCTTTTGAGATTGGCTTCCCTTTCTCAGCATAATTCCCTTGAGATCCGTCCAAGCTGTTGAGTGTGCCGGGAGCACCTTCCTTTTTATTGCTGAGTTGTATTCCATGATGTGGATGAACCACAGGTTCCTTATCCCTCACTCTCTGAAGTCTATTTGGGTCATTTCCAATTTTTGACTATTAGAAGTAAAGCTGCTTTGAACATTTGTACACAGTTTGTGTGTGTGTGTGTGTGCCTGAGCATATGTTTTTATTTCTCTGGGATAAATGCCCAAGAGTGCAATTGCTGGGTCGTATGGTAAGCACATATTTCGTTTTGCAAGAAACTGTCATGCTGTTTTTCAGAGTAGCTGTACCATTTTACATTCCCACCAGCCACGTATGAGAGATGCAGTTTCCAGTTCCTCGCCAGCATTTGGTGTTATCACTGCTTTGTTTTTTAACCACGCTGATAGGTGTGTAGTGACATCTTGTCGTGGTTTTAATCCACATTTCTCCAGCGGCTAATAACATTGAGTACCTTTTCGTGTACTCATTTGCCATCCATATATTCTCTTCAGTAAAATGCCTAATCCTGTGCTCACGTTCTAAATGGGTTGATTGGGGCAGCGCCTATGGCTCAGAAGGGTAGAGCGCTGGCCCCATATGCTGGAGGTGGTGGGTTCAAACCCAGCCCCAGCCAAAAAAAAAAAAAAGAAGAAGCTAAATGGGTTGATTGTCATTTTACTGTTTCATTTTGAGATATATATTATAGATTCTAGATACGAGTCTTTTGTCAGATGTATGGTTTGCAAATATTCTCTCCCAATCTATCTTTTCATCCTTTTCACAGGGTGTTTTGATGAACAGCCAGTTTTAATTTTGATGATAGCCAGTGCTTTGGTGTCAACCCTAAGACCTCTTTGTCTTACTCTAGATCCTAGAGATTTTCTTCTATTTTTTTTTAAAGTTTTATGTCTTACATTTAGGTCTTTGATCTATTTTTAGTTAATTTGAATATTAGGTATGAGGTTTAAATCAAAGTTCTTTTTGTTTGTTTGTTTTTCTTTGCTTGTGGATGTCCAATTGTTCCAGCACCATTTGAGCAACCCCCAGTTGAAAGTCAATTTAGCAGCACTTATCATGAACCACAGGAGTCCATAGCTGTC